AATTCACACAGGTGAGAAGCCTCATTCTTGTAGCACCTGTGGGAAAAGCTACGCTACGATGGTATACTTGAAAATTCACATGAGAATACACACAGGTGAGAGGCCATATTGTTGTATTACATGTGGAAGAAGATTTAGTAATTTAACAGGATTCAAAAATCACATGAAAATTCACTCAGGTGAGAAGCGACATGCTTGTAGCACCTGCGGGAAAGGTTTCATTCAGCTGCAAAACCTGAAAAGGCATATGAGAACTCACACAGGTGAGAGGCCATTTTCTTGTAGCACCTGTGGGAAAGGATTTTGTGGCCTGTCCGGTTTAAAAAGACATATGACAGTACACACAGGTGAGAGGCCGTATTCTTGTAGCACCTGTGGGAAATCATTTAGAGAATTATCAACATTAAAAACTCACATGCGAATTCACACAGGTGAGAAGCCATATTCGTGCGCCACCTGCGGGAAAAGTTTCATTCAGTTGGCACAGTTGCAAAATCACCTGCGAATTCACACAGGCGAGAAGCCATATTTGTGTAGTACCTGTGGGAAAAGATTCCGTAATGTTACGAACATGAAATCTCACATGACAAGTCACATGACGACTGGTTAAAAGTTTCCTGCTTAAGAAATGTGTCAGTGTAGCATGTGTGTTAATAGTAGAGCCAGCAATGACAGTGCAAATCACACCTGTGGGATAAAATATGATTATCCCACAGGTATTATTCAGCTCAATATGGCATATATTTATTTTACACAATAACTAACTGTAACAATTGTTTATTCTATTAATTGTCTTATTCATATGATGCAGGGGAAACCCTGGTTTTATATTTGTCTGAATTCATATTTTTATTGTTTTAGGCTGTAGAGGTGACAAGCACAAGCTGTAGATAAACTTCTTCCACTAAACAGCTTTGTTATAGAGAAAGAAGCTTATATAAGTTTTTTTTTTGTCACTTGTTGCTTATTATGGCAAATATTTAATTTCTCTGTTGTTCAGAGGTTTCACTGCACAATATTAAAAGCAGGGATGTGTCACACAGAAGACACAAATATATCATTATGAACTTGATGTTCATTTTCATGAAGATGCTGAAGGGTTTTGAGTTTTATAAGGTTTAAATAAAGATGTGTTTTAAAGTCATGACTTTTTTCTGAGTTGTAAAGTGAAGTCCCTACAGTAATAGAGAGAAAACGCCAACAGTCACATGTCCTTCTATAAACAACAACTTGGTGTAAGTGGGAAGGAAAAACTCTACATGCAGTGGTGCCAACATTAGCCATGTTAAAATGTTACCATTAACAGGTGGTCAGGCTGTCCACAGGCAAAGACTCGGAGATTTGGCTCTCCATTTCACAGCAGAGTCCTTTCACATTCTTCACATATCCACGTTGGCCAGAGTGTAGAAACAGCCGCTGAATGGCATTTGTCAAATGAGGGGTTTTTTGAAAAGTTAAATCCTTTTTTTGTGAAATCCATTTTCGATTTGACGTATTTATCAATGGATTAATAAATCATTTTGAAATATTGATTTATGAATAGTCTTTATTTAAAATGTAATTATTAAATAATAAGTTACTTTTGTAATGTTTAAATAAATAAAATAATTTAAAAAATACATTTGTAACTGAATTTGCAAATGCATTTTATTGCATTAACAATTCAAAATTGCAGCATAAAAATATTTGGGGGTGTGTTCTTGTGGTCCTCCATAATCATGTTGCTCAACTCTTTATGAATAAACTGTAACACCTGGAACTTGTCTGAGTTAACATGAGCTGCAAGTTATGTTTACTTTTACACTTGGGTTTGTTTAATATATTGTTTTTTTCCTGTTGTGTTGTAATTGATAATTTGTGCTTGATGAGTTGCGCAAATGAAGACTTCATTGATCATTCAGAGTACGGCTTGGGAGTATGTCTTCAAATCAAAATCATGATCAATGAACATTTTACCATGATTATGATTAACCCTTTCATGCATGAATTATGACAAACTCAATCTGGATTTTTTTTTTCTTAAGTATTTTCACTCACCTTTAGGCATGAAAAAAAGATTTTTGAACTTTATTTTTAAACATGTACTTCAACATCACCTTAGAGTGGGTGGCAGGGTATGGAGTGACACACTAGTGTCCAATATAGTGGTTTAAGTATACCATTAACACTGACACAAATACAAGAAAAGAGCCTTTGAATAACTGTCCACTGTAGTGACCACTATGCGTGAAAGCATTAATGAACAGTTTTTATATATATAAAATACATCTCATAGATATAATATTGTTCTTGCCCTCACGAGATATATATTTTAAATATGCTAGTAAAGCTTAGATTTTCTTTCCATATTTTGATGATAGTATTACTCTTGGTCACTGAAACAATTTTTCTCCCAGTTTCCCGTTTTCTTCTACTTGTTTGAGTCTTGAAAGGGTTTGAACTGCAGGAGGGGAGGGCTTCTGTGCACACACACACACACACTGCGCCTGAGATTACAATTAAGAACATCCCCTATTAGTGACGAAAAAGAGCCAACAGGAGAAAAAAAAACTTAATAGTGATTTTCTGTCAGGGCAAGCAAATCAGGCAGTACATGCCCAGTGAAATCTATGAACACATATGATCTAAAATCTGAGTGGCCACAACCTCTCTTCTTGCATCTCAAACAGCATTCTGTCATAAAGCGTCTTGCCTATTTGCATACTTCAAATTACTGCCATCTTGTGACAGTGATCAGTTTTTCAGTTGGTCAAGTTGATCTTCGTTCAACAAGTTTACTTTGACATTAAATATGGCACACAGGGCTGGTTAATTATTTTTTTTTTAAAGATTACACATTAAACCAAATTATTCGACAAAAGTTTTAATTAGATTGTGTTGACATCTTACAATAAATGACCCACATCACAAATAAACAGTGCAAGAGATTAAATATACAGGACAGAATAAAAATCAAGTTTAGTCTTCATTAAAATAAATATCACCACAAAATAACCAATGTTCATAAAAAAATATGTTATGTGTTTCTTGATCTTTTTCAGTTTTTAATCTTATGTAGTGGAACCTGTTTAGTGGCTAATAAAACAATAAAAATATCAAATATTTAAAACTAGGATGAAATTAGTAGAATAATATTTTCTTTTTTTCCATCTCGGTGATGAAATAACCTTCGGAGCATATTCAAGCTGGAACTTTGTCTCCATGGCAGACTTCAAAGCACTTATAAAAGCTTCTGAAGCTGAAGAGTAAACCTGCTATTCATAAACTGGGCTTATGTTACTTGTTGACTGTGTCAAATCAACAAAGACTTCTGCTAGCCCATCTCAAATTTGCATAAAAATTTTACAGTAGAAATTTTAACCATTTATACTGATTGCTGTGAAATTTTAGCTTCATATATTGAAGTTGTTTTTTTGTTTTGTTTTTTTAAATGGTGACGCACTTTCAGCCCTTTTTTTCTCCCTACTCTACCTACCTACCATTTTGAGTCCTACTGTTTACACAACTCTGAACATTTCTATTCAAATTGGAGAAGGTTCAACAGAAACTTTTTGTTTTTATAGAAATTTAATTTGATGCTTTTTAAGAAATTAAATCCTGTCCTGTCTAGCAGCTTTTAAAATACAAATTATGGTGTAAAAATCACCTTTGTGCCAAACATATGTAGCTTTTCCAAGATACATTCTATGAAGTCTCTATAGGCTCCTCTTGTTTATGTTTCTTTTATTGGCTTATTTTATCATTCTATTTGTGTTATTTCAGTTATTAGATTATATGTAACATAGTATATTATAATATGACAATGTCTAAGCTGACAGGCAGAAGAGGAAAAAAATACTGCTTTTGGACAACTCTGATAATTCTT